GAGAGAGAGAGAGAGAGAGAGAGAGAGAGAGAGAGAGAGAGGAGAGAGCGAGCGAGCGAGCGAGCGAGCGAGCGAGGGAGGGAGGGAGGGAGGGAGACAGAGACGGGCAGTGGACAGGTTAAGCAAAAAGACAACTGGGACCCGAAACCACTTGCAGGAACTGAGGCGCCAATGGTTGCCAGCCTAATACGCGACGTGACATCAGAATTTCCACAAACGGTCATCGTGACCAATGTGCTTTAGACGGCACTCGAGAACCAGCTAACTTTTCCGAACGTTCGAAACACCCCCGCCTCGACAAAGTATCCAACGCAAGAAGAATCACTTCCTAGGCCCGGCACCTGAAGTGCTCAGTGCTTGCCCTGAGAGCCATCCGACACCACGCCAGTCTCGCCCTTCAGGCACCTTTCCGTGTCTGCCCTTTCCGAGAAGCAAAGAAAAAATCGAACAGGCGCCGTGCCAGCCTAACACCCAAACACTCGAAGCAGATCTTTGCACTGCTTGCTCCAGGCAGCCGTCACAGGAAAGCACCATAGCTATTCGCGCTCCATACTGACACAATCGCTGGCTCAAGTAGTGTCTCATGGAAGCGAGACGCCAGGCCTGAAAGCTGTCGTCACGTATTTTCAAGCTCTTGACCCCTGATCCAAGCAATTCCTGACTTTTACAAATTCGATCCCTCCAGCCCCTCAGTGCTGTGAGAGCTACACAGTGCCGTAACAACAGGTAGACAACACAAATCCCCCATGATACGCCTACCCAGCCTGCCAAGCTAAACCCCAGGCAGCCTCTCTGCGCAGGCCTTGACGTTTTCGGCCTAGAAAGCTGGGTGCAGGAATGCTTCGCACTCTGGAGGTCTATCCTCGAGGTTCGGGGTTTGCTGCAGGGTCCTCTCACATGTGAGCCGCCACAGGTATACCAGGACCCCATTCTGCATTTTCTCACTGGCTGGACAGACGGGTTCCTTCATAAGCTGATCATGGACACCCACCTGTCGATCCTCAAAAGCGCGGCTCCGTCTCCACTGCAAGTCTCAAGCTCCCCTAGATTCCCCAGATCCAACCGGTAAATTTGATACTCCAACAACTTTCACAGCGAAACCAATTCTGAGAGTCTGAAAGTGATAGCCTTGTCTGCGGAATACGCTTTCTCCATGAGTGAAGTCTGAGCCCGAAAGCCAGACCGAACCCCGATCACTCCAACCCCTAAGAGAAGAATAAAACTCGACTTGTTGAGGCGAAGACGTTGAAGCCAAACTTGTCGAGGCAGGTACCGCCCGGAGCCGATGCGCCGAAGACGTTGATGCCCACCTTCCGTAATGGTGGCCGGTGTGCAAACGAGAACTGCTAAAAGGAAATACGAAGCCCATTGCATGTAACAGGGCTTGGGGGCTTGGGAGGACTGCTGTTTCCAGCTACCGACGGGATTCAAAGGTGGTGGTGGTGGTGGTGGTGGTGGTGGCGGGTACATAAATGCATACATACATACATACATATGTATATATATATATACACTGTCTGTATATGGATGTATATATATATATGTTTATATGCAGTATGTGTATGTCTATGTACATGTACATGTGTATGTATGTTTGTACTTATGCATGCATGCATGTACATGTTTGTGTGTATGGCATGCATGTTTGCATGTATGCATGTGTGTATGTTTGTAGGTACGCATGTATCAGGCTTGTTCTGTGGTGCCTTTGTGTATTCTAGGATTGCTAGGGGGAAGCCGCTACCACTTGGCCAACATGGAGGACCTCTGCAACAGCGGCCTGTCCCAGCTGATGGAGGCGACCAAGGAGCTTCAGCTCGTGGAATCACTGATTCCGGAGGGCAGCCTGGGGTTCGGGCAGTGCAGCTGGTTCGACGGTCCAAAGATCACGGAGGACATGGAACTGGAGCTGGACATGAACCGCCAGGACGAAGCACCAACCAACGGGGGCTGGAGCGAGCAATCTCGCCCAGCAAAGTGGAGGCGCAAAGACGCCAAGGGCCAGGGCGACCAAGGAAAAGGGCCATCCAAGGACCAGCAGGAGTGGACATCCGATCAGCCCATGGGGGCAATGGGGAACCTGGGGCAATCACGACAATCAACTGACGATCAGCGCCCAGGACACCGCATACATGTTCTTCGTACGGGCGGATCTGGAGGGGAATCTGGGCTCAATCCTGTACGAGGCTGGTCGCAAGTGGAATGAGGTGAAGGCCACTACGCCAGACAAGCTGGAGGCACCCATGAGGATCATCCTCATGCAGAAGTTGCTCCTCACCGTCCTCGAGAGGTACAATGCCATGATGGCCTCGGAGGAGAAGATTGCCAAAGCCAAGCAGATGGGCTGGCTGTCGGATTCCGGCCAAAGCATGAATGCCATGCGATGGAACCCGAGAAGAAATGCCACGATGTGAACAAGGAGATCCCGCCCAAGGACTGTGTCTCGGTGAAGGAGGGGCTATCTGCCATGGCAGTGTTGTGCTCCAGTCCCCGGGTGGTGAACAGGTTCCATGCCACTCGCCAAATGGCGGAGGCCTACGAGAGTCCGACTATGATGGATGTGGGACTAAGGACGGTCGAAGCGGGCAAGATGTGGCACCTCCTCAACGATCTGGCTCACTCCGCGGTATGGCTGATGGCGGGGGCTTACATGAGGCACTCCAGGATGCACCGAGGCCCTCTGGCTCAACGGATTGCCCAGGCCCAGGAGTCCGGGGTCCAGCAAAGGACAGGGCAAGGGCAAAGGCAAGGGCAACAAGCAGGGCCAGATGACAGCAGCTGGGAGAGGAGGATCATGAACATGATCTTTCGCAATCAGGGGAAGCACTGCTACACCAATGCTCTGACAAAGAGTCTGATGATGCTGTGGGCTCAACAAGATGCCGAGGTTGCCTGCATTTTGCCGGCAAAACTGCTTGGCCTCTTTAGGGGTTTTCTGATGGCTCCAAGGCCGATCACGATTTGGGCCAATCCTTTCTGGCGTGCCTCGTTTCATAGGTGGTCTTCGCCTAACACTCAACATGATGTTGCGGAGTTTCTTCAAAGCATGGCAGAAAGTTGTCCCACAATGGTACAGATGCTTGGAGTAAGGTGGGAATCCCGGACCCAAGCTACTGGGGCTTTAGAGACTCGAGACTCGGGCAACTCGTTGCCGCTGCTCATCAGCCCTTCCAACGAGGTTCTCAGTGGTAGGGTGGGGACGTCTGTGCAACGCCTCATAGATGATTGGTCGCAACAGGCGGATGTTCATGCAGCAGTGTCCGAGCCGCGAGCACTGATTATTCAAGCGGGTAGGTTTCGGCAAGATGTGGTTGAACAATCCGGTAGCAAGTGCGGGTATGATATCATCCGGGACAGAGTTGTGCACTTTCCTGTTTTCACTGAAGGTCTGGCAACCCGCTCTGCTGGTTTGTGGTGCACCGTGGCCGAAATCTCCATGCTGGGCATTATCAAGCGGTCCTCATTGTTGGTGATGTCTTGTTTCTTGCTGATGACAATACTGTTGCTAGGCCGTGCACTACTTCGGAGTTGGGAACCTTAGGAGCTGACTCGTATGTTTTCTTTTATCGCAGAGCTTGAATTCTCGTCCCTATCAAGACCTTGCTTTGGGTCCAAGGACCGGAAGCCTCTTGCCTCTCTAGAAGCTGTGCAGAGCTGTTGTATCCTTCACACGTGATGCGCATGCTCTGCCGGCTGGTGAGTTCTTGAGGATACACTATGTGCAGCATCGAATGCCGGGCCGTATGAGCTTGTCCTCAATGTCGCTAGCACAGACCGTCTTTGCAGCGGTGAAGTGAAGTGAAAGTTTGCATGCATGTATGTATGTATGTATGTATTTGTGTACAGTGTATGTATGTCTTTAAGTGTGCATGAATGTATGTACGTACGTACGTACGTACGTACGTATGTATGTATGTAGGTATGTATATTTCCGAATTATATAGGGTGATAGACACTCTGGGGTCCACTATTAGTTGCAAAGAGAAATGGATATAGTGGGCATGGGCACGGTGCAGAAAACGTTCACGCCTCCCGCCGTGCAAGATGCATATATTGCGCTCATGTCCTTATATGTACACAGGCGCCTCCGGAAAGCGCGATTCATGGTAAAGTCCAATGTACAGGCCACCTTGTTGGCCTCGAAAATTCTGAATCCCGCCGGTACTTGCGGGATTGGATGTTGGCCGTCCTGCTGACTGCCACCTGTTTAGGCGGAGAAGCACAAGCGCTGTGCCCTGAGTCCCGCCAGTGCTCGGGGGAGCATTGTGTTGGAATCCCACCAGACTTGGGGGAAGCAGCTTGGCTGTGGTATCCTCGTGGTCTGCTCATGGAGTCTCTTGGTGGTTTCAGGGTGATGGTCTTGTATTTTTTTTGTTGGTCCTGGTTGTTCCGGTCGTGGTAGTCGGTGGTGGATCGTGATGGTCGCCATGCTCGTCCTGGTCGTCCAGGCGCTGTATTATCGCTGTTTGGCGATGTTCCGCTTGCATCACGCATATGTGTATGTCCAAATAGTTGCTTGTATGTACGTCTGTATGTACATACAACATATATATATATACACACATACATATACACACGATTTTATGTATACATGCATATATACATACAGACATACCTACCTACCTACCTACCTACCTACCTACCTACCTACCCACCTACCTACCTAGGTAGGTAGGTAGGTAGGTAGGTAGGTAGGTAGGTAGGTAGGTATGTACGTCTGTGTATGTGTGTGTATATGTATGTGTATGGGTATATATCTGTACAACATGCACATACATGCGTGTATGCAAGAAATGTTCACATGCATATATGCATATATACGTACACAAACACACATCTATATATATATATATACATACATATATATATATATATGTATACACCTATATATATACATATATACATATGTACAAGATACACATACATGCATGCATGCATTTACTGAGACAGACGACAGACAGACAGACAGACAGACAGACAGACAGACACGCAGGCAGGCAGGCAGGCTGGCAGGCAGGCAAAGACAGACAGAGCCAGACATAGACAGAGGCAGACCGAGACAGGCAGAGCCAGAGACAGACAGAGACAAATAAATAAAGACAGACAAACGCAGACAGAGACAGACATCAACAGACACAGGCTGACACAGGTAGAGACAGACAGAGAGACAGGCCCGCACACAGCCAGACAAGCAGAAACAAACCGACAGAAGGACAGACAGACAGACACGCAAACAAAAACAAGCAGACACAGAACCAGACAGACAAGCCAGACAGACAGAAACAGTAAGTAAGACCAGACAGACAGACAGACAGACAGACAGACAGACAGACAGCAGACAGACAGACAAACAAACAGACATATATCCAGACATGGAAACACACAGACACGCACACACGCACACACATACACTCACGCACTCGCCCGTCGTAGTCACGATGGGGACACAGGTTTTATGCAAGGACGACATGCTGTTTCTACACCCACATCTCCACGGCTTCTGGAGCTTCCAGTTAGCTCTCACAGATTCTCGGATTGCAGAATCTCAGCATACCTTCGAAGAAATTCTGATATGTTGCTGCATCCGACCAGCTCCTGCTTCTTGGGCATGATATGGAACGCATCCACACGACAGCAATCCCCCCCACCCTATGCTCAAAGCCCACAGCCCTAACAAAAATGATCTATTTTTGCCCTGAGCCATGCTCGAACTCGAGGCTCGAACTATCCGGGACCCTGCAGCAGCCTGCACTGAGCCTCCACATCCCCAAAGGTCCAGTGACACCAACAAGACTCAAACGCACGTTAAAGCTTACGCTTGGGTCGCCGAGATCACCCTTCAGCCTGAGCTGTGGAGAACTCCTCCCAGCCCGTGGTGCATGCAGCCTCCAGAAGTTAAAGCAACGTATAATCGGACTATCGGCAACAAGAATACTGTGGTACTAGCGCTACTTGTAGTGGATGGTGATGGTAGTACATTGACAGGACGGCAAGTGTTAGGCCTGCTTGCACTGCACTCCGTGCGATCCAAACTGAACCATCATCATCATCTTCTACTACTAGTACTAGTACTACTAGTACTACTAGTACTAGTAGTAGTAGTAGTACTACTACTATTACTACTACTACTACTACTACTACTACTGCTACTGCTACTACTACTACTACTACTGCTAC